TTTTAAATGGTTATGAATGTAATATATATATATATATATATATATATATATATATATCATGTAAAATCAACAATCTAAGTCATTTTTCCAATGTTAATTTTATTCATTCGAACTTCTTGCGAGTTTGTATCCATTGATTCTTCCACCAAAAGCCTATATTGGTCATTCCAATCCCTCCCTTTAGAATCTCCTAACTTTGTTCCCTTATGACCACTTCCAACTTTTTCATTTTCACTGTCATGAGAATTCTTATTTTGAACTTATCCTTTTTTTCCTCCACCTCAAAATCACTTTGCTGACGTTTTCTATACGTGAACAATGCTTTCAATAATTTAATTTTTCATAAATACTTAAGATCACCAATTTTCCAAATGTGTAGCCCTAGATTTAATAAATTATCAACCTATAAAAATAGATTCTTTATACTTGCAAAGTGGAAAAAAAAAAAAAAAGATAACATCAGCCTCCAAACCAAAACAAAATCTATATTGTTTCTTTGTCCACTGCTCATGTATGACACAAAAAGAGAAATATAAAAAGATAGAAATATAATAAAATGATACTAGAAAAGCAAAAATAACATGATTTAATTTGATGAAAATAGATTCAATAACAGAACGCAAACATAAAACATATAATATAAAAATTAATATTCCACCGATCCTTTCAATAAGACCCAAATTTAAAAGGTTGTTTGATCATCTTTTATAAAAAAGTTAATCCAAAATATTTTTATATTAATGAGTTTTTTCAAGTTTGATTATCTAATTTTGACATAATATAGAAGTTTTTATAAATTAATCTGTAATATAGAACATAATTGCGAAATTTTTTTACTCATATTAACCAATTATCTAATTTTGATTAGATTGGATTAATTAATCTTAATCTAATTTAATTCTAATTTCAAGAACAAATCATTGTGAAAAAAAAATCAAAATTAAAAAGTGAAGAGGAAGAGGCATGCAAATTAATATTCATAGCAAAATAAATTGATCACCGAAGTTTTAACTACAATTTTTGAAATGGTTGAATTGATTAACAAAATTAACCATCCGCTTTTATAAAATGCAAGCCAAACATCTAGAAAGGAAGAGTACATGTGATCTATACAGAAGAAGAAGAAACCATATCTATTTTAATGTAATTCATAGTAAAAAAAAAGTGTTACTATAACTAATCATAAATTGTGATAAGATAAAATTATTCATTTTTATAATAATTAATTGAAAATATTCTTAGAATAAATTTTAGTTTATTAATAGTATAAAAAATATAGTATATCACTGTATATTAAACTCCTATTTATATCATATTTGTATAAATTTATTTCTATATTGTTATCTATATATATATATATATATATATATATATATATAGAGATCAATGTTAATTTTATTCATTCGAACTTCTTGCGAGTTTGTATCCATTGATTCTTCCACCAAAAGCCTATATTGGTCATTCCAATCCCTCCCTTTAGAATCTCCTAACTTTGTTCCCTTATGACCACTTCCAACTTTTTCATTTTCACTGTCATGAGAATTCTTATTTTGAACTTATCCTTTTTTTCCTCCACCTCAAAATCACTTTGCTGACGTTTTCTATACGTGAACAATGCTTTCAATAATTTAATTTTTCATAAATACTTAAGATCACCAATTTTCCAAATGTGTAGCCCTAGATTTAATAAATTATCAACCTATAAAAATAGATTCTTTATACTTGCAAAGTGGAAAAAAAAAAAAAAAGATAACATCAGCCTCCAAACCAAAACAAAATCTATATTGTTTCTTTGTCCACTGCTCATGTATGACACAAAAAGAGAAATATAAAAAGATAGAAATATAATAAAATGATACTAGAAAAGCAAAAATAACATGATTTAATTTGATGAAAATAGATTCAATAACAGAACGCAAACATAAAACATATAATATAAAAATTAATATTCCACCGATCCTTTCAATAAGACCCAAATTTAAAAGGTTGTTTGATCATCTTTTATAAAAAAGTTAATCCAAAATATTTTTATATTAATGAGTTTTTTCAAGTTTGATTATCTAATTTTGACATAATATAGAAGTTTTTATAAATTAATCTGTAATATAGAACATAATTGCGAAATTTTTTTACTCATATTAACCAATTATCTAATTTTGATTAGATTGGATTAATTAATCTTAATCTAATTTAATTCTAATTTCAAGAACAAATCATTGTGAAAAAAAAATCAAAATTAAAAAGTGAAGAGGAAGAGGCATGCAAATTAATATTCATAGCAAAATAAATTGATCACCGAAGTTTTAACTACAATTTTTGAAATGGTTGAATTGATTAACAAAATTAACCATCCGCTTTTATAAAATGCAAGCCAAACATCTAGAAAGGAAGAGTACATGTGATCTATACAGAAGAAGAAGAAACCATATCTATTTTAATGTAATTCATAGTAAAAAAAAAGTGTTACTATAACTAATCATAAATTGTGATAAGATAAAATTATTCATTTTTATAATAATTAATTGAAAATATTCTTAGAATAAATTTTAGTTTATTAATAGTATAAAAAATATAGTATATCACTGTATATTAAACTCCTATTTATATCATATTTGTATAAATTTATTTCTATATTGTTATCTATATATATATATATATATATATATATATATAAAGAGATCAGGTATTAGCACATCTCAATTTCAAAGTAGCTAGTGCATTAATTCTCTTAAACCCACCAATTAAACAATAAAAGTTGAAATAGCAATGGAAAAAGGTGTGTGAAAAAAACTAAGGAATCCCAATCAAATCATAAAATTTGAATTATTTTGAGTGAAAAAAACGAACTAAACTATTATGTAAAAACGGTTTGATTAATCAAATTACTTTTATAAAGTAGTTTGATTTCGTTTAGTTTGGTTCCTTGAATTGAAACTACATTAAATATGAAGTGAATAACTAGGAGGAAAGTTATAAATTTAGTTTGAGAGACAATTTATTTTAAAATACTTATATATAAAATTATAAATGTTTTATCATTACAAATAGTTCATTAATATTTATATATATTTCTCTCTCTCTATCAATATATATCAATCACACACACGCATGCACACACGCACGCACGCACACAAACACACACACATATATATATATATAGAGAGAGGAATTATAATTATATTGGTGTAACTTTTACTAAGTATTACATCACTCAATAACTTTATATTAATTGTGAATTTTGTAAATCTAACCGTTAGATTGAAAGTTCATATCACTTTATACGTGTATATCAAATTTTGTTAAAATTGAATAACAACTTGAAGGTAATCAAAGTATTCATATTTAAGTGTATTTTGAAATGAATATGTTACGTCAATTTTGTTTTATAAAAATGAAGTATCAAATCATCTTGGATTAATATAAAATTTTGTATGTATGATCTAAGAGATATAAACTTTCAATTTAATGGTTAAATTTACAAAATTCACATTTAATATAAAGTTATTGAGTAGTGTAATACTTAGTAAAAGTTAAACTACAACGATAATTTTCATCTATCAATTTATAATGTTTTTTTAAAAAAATTTAGGAGGTTATAAAAATATTTTTATAATAATTTTAATATTGTAGCATAATGAAAAACACACTAAAAAGACCTAGTCATAGCCTAAATCCAAGTATTCAAAAATGTCAATTCTGTCATGTCTTAACCCTTAAAAAGAGTCTTATATTTATTTATTTATTTATTTTAAATTTAAAAACCTATAAAAATTTCTATAATTTTTTTTTCTAAAATCTCCTAATGTTACATTCAACTCATATATTAATGATATTTATCTTTGTATTAAATTTCTTGATTCAATAAATACCCAACATAAGCTTAGAATATTTCCAAGAAATCCATTTTAAAAATATGGGAGGAGGGGATTATGGCCCTCCAAGTCCTCAATAACTAAATTACACCAAATTAAACTATTAGAAAAGTCAAACTATTTTAAAAAAAAGGGCTGATTTACTTTATAAGAAAATATTATTTGATTAATTATTTTCATAAAATGCTCCGATTCATTTTTTTAAAAAAAATTGTGCGCAACCCTATATAATATTAAATTAATCATAAAATTAGTCAAACGAAATCATAAACATCTCTAAAGATACCCGGAAGGGACTTTCGTTAATAACACTTTCTTTCCTCAATTATTGGGAACTAAAGATAAGAGCTAGATGCCCCATGTCCACCAATTATGGAAGTTTCATTATGCATATTTTCCTGCTATTGGCCCGTAGTATTATGGATTATTTTAAGACCACGATCACAAAAAGAAACGATTTGACTGAAAAATTGATAAATATGCTTGCCGTGTAGCAATTTATCATTCAATTCAGATAATCAATAAAAAAAGAACCTTAAAGAGAAATATGATGATATTTCGTAGGCTCTATAACACATTTTGTTTCACTATATAAGGTAGACAGAGTAGTCCAAGAGAGGCACAACAACTAGCTAATACTGTAGCTTGTATTATTCTACCTCTCTTTCCCATTATTATTTGTTCATTAGCTTTGCTGAGAAAAAAGACGAGGCCCTGTAGCAGAAGGTATGAGACTTTTACTTTCAACTAATTAAACTCTTAAATGACTATTATTATTTATTAACAGAGAAATATATATTCTAGCAACACTCTCCATAATTGTAACACTTTTTTCTTAATATTTTTTTATTAGTTCATTATCATAAATTTTGATAGGTCCTATTATTAAATCAGGATAGACTTATTAATTGAGATGTAATATCATGTAATTTTTAATAATTTTCAATTAATAATAAAAAATGTTAATAAGTAAGTGTTATTAACACATATATTCTTGCTAATATTCTACTATTTGTTAAAAATTATAAATTTAATTTAGTAGATTTTATTATCACTAAATCAAAAGATACCGTTAAATGATATATAAAACATATAAAATTTATAAATTTTTTTTAATGAATTTCAATCAATAATAAAAATTGTTAAAACGAGAGCATATAAGAGAGTGTGGTTAAGATATTTTTTTTTGTTATTAGGGTTTCAATTACTATTTTTGCATCGTCTTTGAAACATTCAAACGAAACTTTTCCAGAAAAAGTGAAAAGTGTCGATTTGCACATAAACACCACGTATAAACTAACAATTCTTGCATGTGTTTAAATTAGAATGAATTTCCAGGAAACGAGTTTTACGCACGCTAACATCCTCTAATACATTGATACATTATTATTTATTGTTATATTATCATTTTGGTAATAATTAAAGGCAAAAGCATAATAGGGTTAGATGAAAAATATTCCAAGCTATTTCATCCAATATTCCTTTTGTTTTTTTCATTTTACTTTGAAGGTATGAGATTGATTCAATCTCTTTCTTCCTATTCCATGTTAAAAGTGTAACAACTTTCTCTCTTTGAATTCCTTAATACTTTCTTGCGCTTAATCTCGTTATTTTTCATGTCATTCACCAAATGATATTCAAATATAACCTAACAACAAAAACTAACTAAAATTTCCTTACAATATTACTTTCAAGCGCCAATTTTTCACATAAACTCTCAATAATTAAACATTTTCTTAATGACCATTTTTAATTATTTTAAAACTTTTAAATATTTTCATTTTTTTTAACGTTTTGTATTTTAACTAATTTCAGAAAATGTTGCGGAAATTTCGTTATTATGTAGCAGAATTAGTTAATTTTACAGCCAATTATAGTTACCAACTTTAATAGCCACAATTATGACTTGTAACTAATTATATATGTTTAATCTGTACATAACTCTTCCGTACATGTTGTGAATACCTAACTAAAGCAGAGTTCAGAACAACACATGAACTTTTCACGTGCATGGATGTTTTAGGAATCTACTTGAATTTCTTAATCTTGTACACACTACACAGGCACAACACAAACAACAATTACTCGTTACAAATTAATCATGAAATGTACAGATTAAGAGAAATTACCATGTGATTCTAGAAACATCCTATCCACCGTTTAATCAAGTGTAATTAATTTTTTTTTTTAGAAATTTTTAATAATATTTTTTCTCTTAAGTTAAAAAAATTTGAACATATATTACAAAGTGATTAGCATCATAAATCTCGAATTATCTACTAATTCCTCACAATTTAGGCCTTCTCTAGTTTGTGTTTGGCAATAGCCCAAGAATGGACAACTATCATGATCGACATTAATTAATGTTGTCAGGAAAGAGAATTCGAAAAGAATAAAGGGAAGAAAAAAAACTAAATGTGAAGGAAACCGAGTTGAGAAAGTGAAAGTGACCAAAATAGTGTGGTAGGGGAGATTTGCACATTTAAATAAATAATACATTACAAGTGGAGAAACTTCCCATAAAAATATCCACTATTTTTTTACTCTTAAGTCAAAATTCAGAGTATGAATAAACTTCCCATAAAAAAATAAAACAATTTTTTTAAACTAAAAATGACTCATGTAGACGTTAATGTATAAAATTTCTCTCAAATTAAATTTTTTTAAAATATAGTTTTAACTCATGTACAAGTAAGTTAATTTTAGTTTATGAAAAAGTTTTTTCATATATTTTTTTTTAATTTTTTCCTCTTAACAATAGTTTTAGAAAAATTTATCCAAATTTTTAAAATTTTATTTAATTTAAAAATTATCTACTTAGTTATAAACATGAATTAACTTAATTTTGAGATATATATAACCATTATGACTACAAAGTTACAAACTAATTCAATTTTAGTTGCATCCATATGTTGAAAATGGTCAAATTTGACTCAACATTGTCTGAACTTTGAAGACCCTTATGAGCGAAGGGTGTGTGAAACTTTCAACTTGTAAACTTAGCAACACATTAAATTTTAGTTAAACTCTCAAAAAGTCACCTCCTCATAACAACCCTTGAATCCATATTTGAGAGACACACCCTTCTTCCCTTCTTCCCTTTTTTGCTTTTTTTTTTATATATATTTTATTATTATTTTTTTTTTTATGTTGATTGATTGATCATAATCATATATATATATAATTCATATACAAACTCAAATACTGCATATTAGAATTTGAGTCTTGACTCTGAAGCCTTACTTGGGTTTGTGTCTAGTTATTTCTCTCTTTGTGATAGCAAGATGATTGAGAACCGTGGAAACACGAATCATCAACAAACCACTGAAGTCTCCACTGACACGCTTCCACAAGTAGGTTCCAAGTGCTTTGATGATGATGGCCGTCTCAAAAGAACTGGTGATCAATTAAACTTCACTACAAATTCACTCCATGTTAAGGAATTATATATATATATATATAAAGGAGGGATCATTTTATTTCAAGAATAAGTCTACCTAAACTTATTCTGTTTAATAATTTATGTTTTACATTAAATTTCAACGATTCAACCGTTCAATTTAATGTTCTTAATACATAGATCAAATCTGCAAATTTTTTAAAAAATTAAAAATTATTTAATACCTTGTTTCATTAATTTGAATCAATGTATAAAATGATTTTATGATTATCCATCGGTTTGAATTAATAAAATGAAGTATCAAATGATTTTCAAATTTTTTAAAAATTTACAAATTTGATCTATACATTAAAAACTTTAAATTCAACGGTTAGATCATTAAAATTTATTACAGAATACGAGTTATTAAATAGAGTAAGTCTAAATAAACTTACTCCTAAAGTAAAATGATCCCTCTTCACACACACACACACACACATATATATATATATATATAAATATATATATATATATATATATATATTTTCAAAACATAAAAAAAGTATGTGTTGATTCTATTATTAATAATTAGTATACATAAGTTTAAGTTCAGATATTAAATCTTGTTATCATCATTATAATTTTTATAAATACTTTTTTTTTCTAGTAGTTACTCATCATTAGGCATTACTCATTTCTAATGCACATACTTTTGTGTTTCACAAAATAGGAACTGTTTGGACTGCAAGTGCTCACATAATAACAGCTGTTATTGGTTCTGGGGTGTTATCTTTGGCTTGGGCAATTGGTCAACTTGGTTGGGTTGCTGGTCCTGCTATGATGATTCTATTCTCAACTGTGACATATTACACCTCAAGTCTTCTAGCTCTTTGTTACCGTTCTGGTGACCAACTCACTGGCAAAAGAAACTACACTTATACACTTGCTGTTAGATCCTACCTTGGTATGCATGCTACTCAACTCAATTAAACAAAAGCAAATTTTTTTCATCAAATAAAGGGATTTTGGGTGCGTAATTTGTTTTTAGAAGAATTTCAATATTGGGTTTTACAGGTGGGTCTATGATCAAGATTTGTGGGTGGGTTCAGTATGTGAACCTTTTTGGAGTGGCAGTTGGGTACACCATAGCAGCTTCCACAAGTATGATGTGAGTTTTTAAATCATGGTGATGTTGAAATGTGCAATTATTGATGTGTGAGTGTGAAGTATAGGGAAAATGTGCTAATTGGGTGTTTTGGTTGTTGATCGAACAGGGCAGTCAAAAGGTCTAATTGTTATCATAGCAGCGGAGGGAAAAATCCATGCAAAATGAACAGCAATATTTACATGATTTCATTTGGTATTGTGGAAATTATCTTCTCCCAAATTCCAGATTTTCATGAGTTATGGTGGCTCTCTATTGTAGCTGCTGTCATGTCCTTCACATACTCATTTATTGGACTTGGACTTGGTGTTGGTAAAGTTATAGGTATGTTTCTATTCATGTAATTGTAAGCTTATTATTTTTAAGTATTTTACATCATTCAATCATAATAATATCATTCAATCATAATAATGATAAGTTTCTTAACTTCTATAATAAATAATTAAAAATTAATACAAACAATAATATCTGATTAATTAATAGTATAAAATTATTTTACAATTTCAGTTCATAATTATTGAACTCTTATTTTTATCGGTTGAGGATTATACAACAAGAAGGTAGAAATTTGACTTGAATTGCACATGTAACAGGAAATGGAAGAGTTAAAGGAAGCCTAACTGGGGTAACTGTTGGCAATGTAATTGCTGGCAGCACTGTGACAGAAGCAAAGAAAGTTTTGAGGAGTTTCCAAGCTCTTGGCAGCATAGCCTTTGCCTACTCCTACTCTATGATCCTTATAGAAATTCAGGTACAACTAATTTTTCTGAATTTTGTGACACTCACATGACCAACCCCTCGTTATTTTTATTTGAAATCTCAAGTAAAATGGTGGTTGCTACTTGCTATTAAACAGGACACAATAAAATCCCCTCCATCAGAGTCAAAGACAATGTCAGAGGCTACATTAGTCAGTGTTTTAGTCACAACCGTTTTCTACATGCTATGTGGTTGCTTTGGCTATGCTGCTTTTGGAGATTCAAGCCCTGGAAACCTTCTCACTGATTTTGGCTTCTACAACCCTTACTGGCTCCTTGACATAGCCAATGTTGCAATTGTGGTCCATCTTGTTGGTGCATACCAAGTTTACTGCCAACCCCTTTTCTCATTTGTTGAAAAAACAGCATCAGAAAAGTTTCCAAATAGTGATTTTGTGAACAAAGAAATTTCAGTTCCAATCTTTGGTTGCAAACCCTTCAAGCTGAATCTGTTCAGAATGGTTTGGAGGACAATTTTTGTGATCATATCTACCCTGTTGTCCATGCTCCTACCATTCTTCAATGACATTGTGGGGCTTATGGGAGCCGTTGGATTTTGGCCCCTCACAGTGTATTTCCCAGTGGAGATGTATATAGCTCAAAAGAACATACCAAAGTGGAACACAAAATGGATATGCTTACAGGTGCTTAGTGCTACATGCCTTGTAATTAGTTTAGTTGCTGCAGCAGGTTCAATTGCTGGGGTCATTGATAATCTTAAAGTTTACAAGCCATTCACCACCAGCTACTAATGGATTAGGATAGCATAGTGATCACCATTGTCAAAGATTTCATTAGTAATAGAAAAAAAAAAATCTTATATGAAATCTATAGGAAGGTGGTTGTTATAAATTTGATAAGTATACTAATTGACGTAATAGTATAGAAGATAAAAGGTTTAAAGTATCCAATCTACATAAATTTGTTTATAGTTATTTAATATAATTATGATACTAAACAAATAAATTGAAAAGTAATTGATTTTAATTATGTAAAGAAATATTTAATTGCGGAAATTAAAAGAAAGCAATAATTTGGATGAATCTAATATATAATATAATCAGTTGGATATTGATTCATTAATTTTTTGTATGTAAAATTCTATCAATTTTTCATTCAATTTTGTAAATAAACAGTTAATTTGTCAGTCCACACAAATATTTAAATCCTAATTTCTTGGGTGAGAAATTCTAGAAAATCTCAATTCCTTGGTAATTTTTGTTAACCAATCATGCATTAATGTTAGGAACCAAAAATCGATGGATGAAGTTTATCCCAATTCCTTGGTAATAAATGCCTTTAGTGTTTTCTCTAAATCATTGTTTCAAAAAGGGTTTCCCATTCACAATTAATTTTATGAAATCATGCATTAGATGATCAAGCTAAAAGAAACATTAATAATAGAAGGAAACAATCAACTGAATAATATTTTTATTGAATGAAAATCAGTAAGAAATTACATAGTTCGAATAGCTACCTCAATCCCCAACAATGGAGAACTTAACTATTCAAGACTAAGGATTACAACTCTATGTGAATCTTTGAACAATATGTGATCCTAGTGTTGATCTCACATAACCCTCTCTAATCTCTTTAAAATTGTACTAAAAAGTGTATTACAATATGAACTGATACAAAGACCTCTAGAAATCCTAATTTTATAACAATTTCTAATGGGTTTTTGGATTGGATCCAGTCACCTAGAGCACACATGTTGCTCGCTCTAAGTGACCATGTAAGTACGTTTAGGGGTGCTCTCTACCTTCACTCACTCAGATAGAATTTGTGGTGGCTTTGAGCAAATTCTTCTCGTTCAGATCGCTTAAGAGGCTTGTTTTGAGTGACTAAATGTTTGCGTCTAGTATTGTTCTTTGTCTTGGCTTGCTCAAAGTAAATTTATGGTAGCTTTGAGTGAATTTCCATGGTTTAGAGTATTAAATCCAATTGAGACTTTGTAGCTTTCCAAATTATCTTCTTATGATATTTCAAAAGAGAAAAACATTAAAAAATACAATATTTAAACAATTAAAACAAAATTGAAATCATCTCTTGACTAAGTATTTTGTAGCCAAAAATAAGATTTAAAAGCATAATATATATCAATAATTATCTACATTAAATAAAATATAAATGCATATTTGACAATTATCAAGCATTTTTATGAAGTTGATGGGTTTGTACAAGTTGGAGGAAGTTGTCCAGTGAGGTTAGGGAAATTGTAAATTGTTGTCATTTTATATTTGTGTTAGTGAAGTGTTACAACAACAAAAAAACAAAATTTCTTGTGTTTAGAAATTCCCTTCTTCAATTGTTAAAAGAAAAGAAGAGGAATTAGTGAATAAAATGAAAAATAAGGGGAGAAAGGGCAAAAAGTTCATTAAGTTAGGAATTTTAAAAGTTCATTATTGAGTGAAAGTGCTCTCTTGTTAATTAAGTCTTTGCATTATAGAAAACCAAATTTCTTATAACCAAGCCCCATTACAACCTTCTAAAAGTCCTTAGTGATCCATGTTAAGCTCATTCTTGTGACTTGCGGGAGATGGATAACAAAATTGATTTAGTGTGATTCAATGCATGAAATAAGAGAAACATTCACTCCTTGAAAATGCCTTGTATTTCACGACTTCAATTATGATGTGGGCACCATTTGTGTAAACATAAATGTACTATCCGTACCGCGAAGCCGAGCTTTAGCTCGGCATCACAGCGCAGATTGACATCGGACATGCGCCACACGACATCGGCCACGCTAAAGGCCCACTATCTAAACAGGTCATAACTGATCTCAGGCCCAAGGCCCAGAAAAACCCTAATTCACACTAAGGTACGTGCATTACTTATACGAGACCCATATACCCACAAACACTAACTTTAGCATCAGAGTCTCTTTTGCAAGTACCACCCCCATTCTGGAACAGCAAACGTACCTAGGAAGGAGGGTCACCAATCTTGCCTAGCAGATCGTCCCTACGACCGATCTCCTGTAAGAACATTTGGCGCCCACCGTGGGGCCGATCAAGACATCTCTTATCGGCCAGGCTTATGGTTTTCACCTGAAGCCATAGTAGACGAGTAACAGATGACCTAGATCGCACAACCAGAATGGAAGGTGAAGCAGCATTGAGGAGACTGATCGAGCAGGTCGATCAAATGCGGCAGCAACACGCCGTCGACCTGGAAAACATCCGCACCAGACACGAAGTTGACCTAGTGGCGCTGCGCGCCGAGAATGAGCGCATTCGCGCCCAGCTTCCTCGGTGCCCTTCTGATCAACCCCCTCAACCGAGTAATCAAAACGAGGAAGAGGGGCACTCAGTTTCCCAGCCACCGACTGCACCCAGGGCACCAACCCACAGGTCTGCTATACATCAGTCACACACACCGACGAATAGGTCAGACCATGAAGTCAGCAATGCACCTACCCCAGGACATAGGGTGAACATCCGCCGCCATCCTTTTATTGACGACATCATGGAGACGCCCCTTCCCTTTGGTTGGAAGCCTCTCAACATCGACCGTTACGACGTCACTACTAACCCAGATGAGCACGTCGATCTATACATCACACAGGTAAATCTGTACACTAACGAGGATGCTATTCTGTGTAGGATTTTTCCGACCTCGCTTAAGGGAGCAGCACTCGCCTGGTACACTTAGTTGCTGCTAGGGTCGGTCGATAACTTTGACACTCTAGTAAGGCAATTCACGGTGTAGTATGCAACGAGTCAACCTCATCACATCACATCCGCCGCCCTGGCCAGCCTCAGGCAGGGCGACAACGAGCCACTGAGGGCATTCATGGAACGCTTTGCTAGCATCTCGGTCAAAATCCGAAACCTAAACCTCGAGGTTGCCCTACACGTCATGCTCATGGCGCTCAAGCTAGGACCCTTCGTTGACAGCCTGTGTTGGCGACCCCCACAGACATGGACGAACTTCGTGCCTGAGCTGCAGGGTACATTGAGATGGAAGAGCACTCTGCTTTCCGCGACCACGGCCACAAAGATAAGATGAAGATCACCAATGACAACCAATTCAAGAAGGCTGCTAGGGCAAACAAAGGAGGGAGGTATGACTTCTACACCCCCCTAAATGCGCCTCGAGTACACATCCTGGAAGAGGGCAGCAACGCCAACCTGCTCACTCTGCCACCACCTGGACACAGTCCCAACAATGTAGACAAATCCAAGCATTACCGATACCATAGAAACTATGGTCACATAACTGAGGAATCACGTATGCTCAGAGACCGCATTGAGGAACTCGTCCAAGGAGGGCACCTCGAACAATATGTCCAACGACAACAATCTCACAGAGAAGGCTACCACGGACGAGGATGAGGACGCGGCCGAGGTTCTGGGACTCGAACAGACCAACCTTCTGGCTCCCGGCAAAATATGGGTGGAGCAGTGCAGGCCGAGGCAAGTCAGGATACAAGGTCGGCTCCATTGCGAGGAGTTATCAATACAATTGCAGGTGGCTTCGCACGGGGAGGCTCCAGTTGCTCGGCACGCAAAAGGCACTTGCGGAGCATCAACAATGTCCATTCTGCCACCTCGGCCCCACACCACAACACACCACCTATCACCTTCACGGACGACGACTACACTGGCATCTGTCCAAACCAGGATGATCCCGTGGTCATCGCAGTGGAAGTTGCTTATTGGGAAGTCCACAAGATGTTGATTGACCAGGGAAGCTTAGCTGACGTCCCATACTAGTCGACGTTCCTAAGGTTAGACATCCCTCACTCCCTTATCCAACCTCACACAGAGCCCCTAGTCGGTTTTGCAAGAAAGCGAGTTCACACTCGAGGGTACGTGGATCTACTGACAACCTTCGGGACCCCTCCTGACTCAAGGAGGATCATGGTCTGATACCTCCTTGTTGAGGCCAACACATCCTACAATATAATCATCGGAATGCCGACGTTGAACCAACTCGGAGCTGTGGTATCTACCCCGTACCTGACAATGAAATTCCCAGAGAGCAATGGCAAGATCATCTCCGTCAGAGCAAACCAGAAGACAGTTCGGCAATGCTATGCTAAAAGCTTGAAGGTCTCGCCATCCGAAGAGTGCCACAAAAGTGACCCCCCTACAGTAGCTCACATAGCCCAGGTTAACATCACTGACCTGGATCCTAGGTCAGAATCCCATGACGAACGGCCAAATCCCGTCGACGAGCTTGATGACCTTCAAGTCGGTAAACTCCCCGGACAGTGTACGAAGATAAGTCAGTAGTTAAACCCTGTGACAACGGCTCATTGAGGAGATCTCCAAAAATACCGACCTCTTCGCATGGTCCAGCGTAGATATGCCAGGTATTGATCCTAACCTCATCATTCCAAAGGCTAACCATCCACAAGGAAGCTAGGCCGATCGCTCAGAGAAAGAGGAAGGTCGGAGGAGAACGACGCGACGCCATCATCGTTGAGATGAGGAAGTTGATAAATGCGGGCTTTATCCGTGAAGTCAGATACACCACGTGGCTGGCGAACGTGGTATTGGTCAAGAAGAACTCGAGAAAGTGGCGTATGTGCGACGACTATACCAACCTTAACAAGGTGTGTCCCAAAGATTCATACCTTCTTCCGAGCATCGACAGGTTGGTTGACGGCGCATCCGACCATGCCCTCCTCAGCTTCCTTGACGCATATTCCAGGTACAATCAGATCATGATGTACCCACCAGACGAGGAGCACACAACCTTCATCACCGATCACGCAAACTTTTGCTATCGAGTGATGCCTTTCGGCCTAAAAAATGTCAGAGCAACTTACCAGCGTCTAATGGATAAGGTCTTCCAGCACCAAATTAGGAGAAATATGGAAGTATACGTGGACGACATGGTCGTTAAAACACTGTCAGCCGAGACTCATGCCGCCGACTTGGCCGAGGTGTTCAGCCAGATCAGAAAACACAACATG